GAGGGGACAATAGTCCCTTCAAGGTTGCAGATACGTCTTGCTGATTGGTGAGTGCCAACTAGCACGAGACCTAGGTTCAAGGCATCCTGCCGATCGCCTCTAACCATCTCTTATCATCAAACGATAAATATACATTTACGACTTCAGACTTCACTACCACTTTTAATTACTGGGCTCACTGCCGCTCAGTTTAGGTGGTTAGGCAGGTAGAGACAAAAATCATCGGATCATTCTGCACGAAAGGATACTATAATCACTTTATTCCAATCAATAATAATTTTATAGAATGGAATTTTCAGCGTTTTTACATATTGCAACGATACGTAATATAGTAAATATAATGAAACCGCAAAAAATGAAAGTTCATGGAATATAATGAATAACGAACATAAATTTTATTGAAATTTCTTCTGTTTTCATCCAAAGAGATTTAGGGAAAAAGTTACGAATAAAGAGGATGTTCAGTATCAGAGAAGATGACGCTGGATAACGGCTCGAAAGAATGAAAATGCCTATCAAGAACAATTGGTCAGTTCGTTGAGTCAAAGACAAATCACTAAGGATGCCTGCTTACAGCCTTCAGAACCCTATGTAATATGACATAGTCTTTCCTGAGAAGCCCATACGAGAATAAGGGGAAACAATAAAGGATGAAGAATGCGTAGAATATATGAATTAATAAACTGCCATTGAGGACGTTAAGTTATGCCAGAAATTCCTAACTTCGCTATGTAATAAGTCAAACGAAAGACTTTATTGAAAATCAACAAGATATGAGACAACAAACAGGGATCTGAAGTGAGACTGATGCAACTGTAACAACAGAAGACAAGGGCCAGGCAACAGATCGTTTATTACGAAAAATCAACACGTATTTATAGATTTTTATGTACATTATTGTAGGTCAATGTTAGTAGAAAATACAGTCTGTTGATTGGTTGTTTCTCACACAAGGTTGACCTTGCATCTCTTGTGGCTGTGTCAGTTCATCTATATGTTAACTGTAACCGCCTGTCCACCTTGACTTTTGACCTCAATTACTGTCAACCAATTTGGCCAGCAACCATCTCTCACCACAACATGACTAATATTTGATACATAAACATTGACCTCAATTACTGTCCACCACTTGGCTAGTAGACAGCTCTCACCACACTCGTCCCCCCGTCAAATAGTTTGGACTGAAGTCGGCTCGGTCTTCTCGGTTCTTGGGACTTTGCTCTGTTGTCTTGCTGTCTGGAATCTCGGCGCTTGCGGATGTCCACTTGTTTAACGGTGTTTACCATTGCGATTGTGTCTGCGTAACCCCATCTCAACGTGACCATATATGGTCCTTCCCACTTTGGAAACTGTTTGCCTGACCCTGTCGCACATTCGTAGGTATTTCGCCTCACACTTCCATATGCTGCTTTCTCCCGACCTCCCAGCAGCGTCCCAAGTAGCAGCCTCATCGCTGACAGATCTTGAACGCCACTCAACTGCGAAGAATCCTCGAAGTCCTGCGCGAAGATCCATATGTCTCCATCAAAAACTGCAGGGCATAGGCTTTCCATTTGTCGGTAGGCAGCGACACCAAATGTAACAACAGAAGACAAGGGCCAGGCAACAGATCGTTTATTACGAAAAATCAACACGTATTTATAGATTTTTATGTACATTATTGTAGGTCAATGTTAGTAGAAAATACAGTCTGTTGATTGGTTGTTTCTCACACAAGGTTGACCTTGCATCTCTTGTGGCTGTGTCAGTTCATCTATATGTTAACTGTAACCGCCTGTCCACCTTGACTTTTGACCTCAATTACTGTCAACCAATTTGGCCAGCAACCATCTCTCACCACAACATGACTAATATTTGATACATAAACATTGACCTCAATTACTGTCCACCACTTGGCTAGTAGACAGCTCTCACCACACTCGTCCCCCCGTCAAATAGTTTGGACTGAAGTCGGCTCGGTCTTCTCGGTTCTTGGGACTTTGCTCTGTTGTCTTGCTGTCTGGAATCTCGGCGCTTGCGGATGTCCACTTGTTTAACGGTGTTTACCATTGCGATTGTGTCTGCGTAACCCCATCTCAACGTGACCATATATGGTCCTTCCCACTTTGGAAACTGTTTGCCTGACCCTGTCGCACATTCGTAGGTATTTCGCCTCACACTTCCATATGCTGCTTTCTCCCGACCTCCCAGCAGCGTCCCAAGTAGCAGCCTCATCGCTGACAGATCTTGAACGCCACTCAACTGCGAAGAATCCTCGAAGTCCTGCGCGAAGATCCATATGTCTCCATCAAAAACTGCAGGGCATAGGCTTTCCATTTGTCGGTAGGCAGCGACACCAAATGTAACAACAGAAGACAAGGGCCAGGCAACAGATCGTTTATTACGAAAAATCAACACGTATTTATAGATTTTTATGTACATTATTGTAGGTCAATGTTAGTAGAAAATACAGTCTGTTGATTGGTTGTTTCTCACACAAGGTTGACCTTGCATCTCTTGTGGCTGTGTCAGTTCATCTATATGTTAACTGTAACCGCCTGTCCACCTTGACTTTTGACCTCAATTACTGTCAACCAATTTGGCCAGCAACCATCTCTCACCACAACATGACTAATATTTGATACATAAACATTGACCTCAATTACTGTCCACCACTTGGCTAGTAGACAGCTCTCACCATACAAAGATTAGAGATATTTGATTTACTCCCTATTACAGTACCTATCGAAATCTCAAGAATCATGGAACTGAATCAGTCCATGCAAGTCTTGTTCATGTCGAAAATCAAAAACTAACAATATGACATTTAAAGGGACTTATTTTAAGACCTCAGATGAGAAACTATTCATATCAAAAAGATCCAATACAGAAACTACTGAGGCGAGTGTATCAGCTGAGCTGGTCACACACTATGCGAGTCAAAACGTGTTAGCGAACATCATACAGCATGGTTGCAAAGAGGAGGTACTGGTTCAATCAGAAGCGCCATAACTGAACACCTCATCAATACCTGTCACAGCAACTTTACTGACTGATCATTCAGAGTCATTTACAAAGTAAAAAATATATATCAGAGGCTTCTTTGTACTGCGGAAGCTCTCACCATATGCATCGAAAAGCCAGAGCAATGTGTTCAAAAGAAACTAGTCCATCCTTTATAACTAACATGGACCTAGTTCGGTATGTTCCGTAATCCTTCAGGTTTTTTGTTTTGTCCTCTGTGTGTGTAATTTTCTCTCTTCGTCTTCGTTCAATTCATCCCATTTTATTCAGTTATAAAATCAGTTATTTTCAGTTTGTTTCCATGCTCCTCCTGATCACACTTGTAATCCGTTTAGAATAACTATTTTACAATTATATGCCTTTGCTTTTATACCTCTTGTAATCTATATTCGTACCTCCTAGCTTACATTTCAAGTTGAAAATTATGATTTCAGTTTGTTCCCATGCTAATTTTGTTCACACCTGTAATTTTTTCTATCCCTGCGTAACTTTTGTCTCTAAGCCTCTTGTAATCTATATTCGTACCTTCAAACTTTCATATCAAGTTGAAAATTATTATCTCCTTCGTTACTATGTGGAATTAAATAAATAATAGTTGTATCCATGTAAACTAATGTATAAAAATGTGACTGTACAGCTTTTGAGAATGAAATCGCCGAAAAGATATCTAAAACAATTAGTTCCCTTTATGAATTTAGATAAAGCAATAAGAAGACATAATTTGTCTGAATCGTGTAATGTGCATTTGCGCAACACATTTCGAACAATTTGATCACAGACGGACTTGCCATAGGAATATATATGAAATTAATAAAGAGTTAAGAAGTGAGAAAATAAATTTAGGTCAAGGTAAAAGGACATATTGAAGGTCAAAATAACAATGAAGATCACTAAACCAAATAACAGAGGTAATAGTACATCTGCTATGGTATCAAAACAAAGTTTACCAAGGAAGGTTTAGTGTGATGACGAACTGTTGCTTTGAACACATAAAGGTGGTTTAAACTTCCTAATTACCATCTAGGGATTCCACAAACTGTAGGATACACTTCAAACACGTTTTATCGATAGATAGGTTTAAAAGAAGTGTAAACATCAATTTTATGTCCTGTCTCTATAATGTGTTTGTCAATAGAGGAGCTAGGTCTCCTGTTCTCACCATTAATGGGTTCTGAGGATTCTATTTGCTTCTGGAGCCATTTGGGAATATGTTCTGAAGATAGCCCTTTCAGAGATCGACGAGTTCTCCCTATGTATGTGTGTCCACACGTACATTCAAATTGGTAAATACAGTGGGATATGACATTATTTTTCGCATGTTCGAAGGGCATTAGATGGATATATTGGCTTCACATTCTCAATTATTATGATATTAGCTGCATCGAAAGTCTTTTTAACAACAGCGTTCAGTCTTTGTCTAGTTGTCAAGCTGCTATGATGCCCCATATATGGTAGCTTGATGTACACATCTTTCTTAAGGGGCAAGTTGCAGAGTAGGTCTTGGTGTTTCGACTACTTTATATCTCCTGATCAACTTGTCTGGATAACTGTTATCAACCAGAGTTTGTGTCAACTTTCTTTCTTCTTCATCAAGTGTGTCTTCAGTGCGTGTGTTCGAAATGTTTTGTGCAAATACATTACATGATTCAGACAAATTACGTTTTATTATTGCTTTATCTGAAAAGATATCTTTTGCTGGACTTCTTGTTCTTTCCCCTTTAATGTCCCGATGGGTGTTTTCCATGACTTTGGAAAACAACTTATAGATTTAAGACAGAAGGAGAAATATAAAGTAGTGTGATGATGGGTAAAAATAAATATAGGAAAAAACAGTGATCTAGCAAAGATTATCAGAATTTCAAATCTGAGGATTACAAGACTATTCCCAGCAAATGATTATTACAAAGTTTAAAAAAGAAGTTTAGAAACAGACATTAAATATAAGGGATATATGAATATTTTCTAAACCCAAATGGTTACAGAAACAAAATACTTACTCCAATCGTGTTTTTGATAAATCTTTGTAAAATCGAAACCAACATTTTTATTTCCCTCGATCATTTCATTATTTTTATCTGTATTATTTAAAGGAAATGTCTACAAGTTTTAAAATGAATTACAGTCCAACATCACCTGTCAGCTTACCATTTTCGATGGGAACAAAGAACTCGGTTTACGTGAATCTAGATATTGTATTCCCGGAGGTGGATATCTTGAATCCATATTTGAGTGGATTTTAGCTAAATATCTATCGAGTATTGTATAGTCTACATTTTCATCTTTTGTACAACATTTTTGCTGGGTGTTTGTTTCATTTACCGGAGAATTAGGTACTGGTCTGTCTTGGCTTATCCTTCCACATTCTTCAGTTTTGCTATCATAATCAACATTCAGCTGATTTGTTGTCATTCTCCAAATAAATAAAAACAGAAAAGTATTTCCAGTTTTATAAAGAATAATTTTCCAACCAAATCACTGAATGAAGAAAAAATTCGTTAATAAAATGATACAAATGATGTATTCCTTATAAATTATTGGACAGAATTAAACTCTAGTGACCTTCATGCGAAGGTCATTTCGATCGATATCTTTTCAAAATAATATACATAAGTCATAGTACGTGAGGATAACGGCTATTATCGCAAGGTGTTTTCGCGCACAGTATGGCAGGTTTATTAAGAAACACATGACAAAGAAAGCGGAAAAGGACTATTCTCCGTCTGTAAATAAGAAGCCTTTATATATACGACTGTAATTCAAGGGTAACTCACCTAGTGAAACAATTACTAAGAAGTTAAGAAAATCAGTTCAAAGAACTCTTAATGCTGGCAAACTACACGTCTTATTTTCTTCAAATGGTAGATGATGTACCTAGACTAGATTAGCCACTTCCAATTGTACCTACCAATTCAACTGCGCTTGTGGAGCGAGTTATATTGGCCGTTGCTCTAGGCACTTGACTTTTTGTCCTCGAGGACATCTCCAAGTATGGCTAAGTAAAGGTGTAGTAAAAACCATCAACAGTTCAATATTAGACCAGCTGGTCCAAACCGGCCAGCATTGAAGAATCCTTCTCCATCATCTATCGGGTACCAAATAAATTGCCAAAAACATCGAAGCACCACATGCTTTAAACAGCAGATGCTATTGCAATTCGCCTCAAAGAACCAGTGCTCGGCGTGCAAAAGAAACAAGTCCAGCCAGCCACTACTACTGCTCTGGCCTTTAGTGGAGACTATAAATTCATTAATTTGTATTATTGTCTTTCCTAATTTTTCTGACATTCATTTTACTGTTATGTTGATGCTACCGAGCTGTAATCCATTGATATTATTATTATTGATTCGATGTTATTTAAACAACATTAATGTTCCTAATATCATTAATTCATTCGCTGTTATGTATATATAGCCTGATGAAGAAGGCGTTATCGGAAAGAGTATTCTCTGTTCAATAATCATTCTTGTGAAAAAATTTAAATGAGTATTTTTAATCAGTTAACATATAGAAAACGCTGAAAGTTGGTAGATTATCTTTAAAACAGCCAAGCATAACATCTGATATGATAATTACAGCATTTCTGTCTAGGCACATAATACAAAATCAACTACCTGAGGAAATTCAAACCGTAATTGAACGCCTTCCTTTATATCTGCACAAGTATACTGAAATAAAAATGTGACAAGTTTGATTTGAGACAGTTTATATCCTCACCAGGTAATAGTCTGATCTATTGCACTCAACAAATTGATTTTTGATATCTTTGGATCACAATTTATATCGTCTTTCTTGAATTTGAATAAATTTGAATCTGTTTGTTGTAATTTGGAAAAGATAGGGTTCTCAAAACTAACATTTGAGGATTATGTAGATTCAGCAACCTAGTGGATGTCGATTCGACATTTGAAACAATAGGAATGCCGTTGCCCAGAAGCTGGTGAAGAGGAAAGGTTGGGCATGAGGCTAGCAACCCCATCCTGTAGAAATAAACACTGCTACAGAAACTTCAAACCACTAGCTTGAAGCCCTATGTTCCACTGGGGAACGTGAAGGAAAAAAAGAAGGATTTTTCATAGTCCTGATTGAAAAGTTAAGAAATATGTAGGAATGAACACTCAAGATACCTGTACCAGCCTGTCACTACCTAGAGAATAAAAATTCAGGTTTTTTTCCCACCTATCAACTGTCCTCTGGTGTAACCATCAGATACTGGACAATTCACCTATTTTAGTTAATGTATATCTATTAGGGGTTACTAAGTGCTGTCATCTTCGAAGAATCCACTACAACAGAGTGTCATACAACACGTTTTCTGCATTGATGTTGAGTTAGAATAAAATCACGGTGAGTTCCAATCTTTGTTCTTCTTTCTTTTGTGATTAGTTTTATACTACTTACCATTTGTAAGTAGTTAAACACCATCTGCTGTATATCCTTCATTTATATACCCTTCGCTCTTGAACTATGTTTAGTTGAATCGCCTTATTTTTTGTGTAGCATTCGCACGCCTTTTAATCTGGCAGTGGATCACCTTTGACGCATATTTACTGTTTTTCATATTTAATGCACACTGACTGCTCATCCGATAACGTTCAGCCACAAATATCTCACAATTTTCAGGTTTGTAAATTCTACTTCATTCCAATATGTAAAATATAGTAAAGAATTTTGAAGAAATCTTGTGTTTTAAGATTTTACGCGTCACCCAATGCCTGGTTTAGCTAATCAATTTGATTGTTGCTTGGTATTTCTTAGAAGAAATCCGCAATCAACTCATAGTTATGTGAATATATTCTTTATATTGGCAAACAAGACTGGAAAAAGATGTAAATACGAAAAGGGTGTATAGAATTTATAAGAACTGGAAAGATATGAATAAGGTGAAGAATATACGGCTAATGAAAACGACAAATTACTCAACTGGAATTATTCACCACTGGTATATTATTTCATGATATATGCGGTTGACTGTAACAGTTATTTTTCAATTACCATCGGGTGGTTTTTTAATTTTTTATACTCTTTTTCTCAACCAGAAGTATTCCTCTTGTATCATTACTTATCTTAGTAAAATGACTCTATTCCATATAATTTACCTTGTCTTTCATCAGATTGCTGAGTAGGATTTCACTTCTAACTGATAAATTCAGCAGAGAAATTTGCACCCTACAATTAAATCCACCTGCAAAGAAGAATATCATCAAGAGGAATAGCATCACCTTTCTGAATGTTCTTGCTGTTAAAGGTCAAATAGCACGTTAAAGACAGATGTCTACAAAAAGGCGAAGCGGAACGGACAGTATGTCCATTTCCATTGTTTCATGCCAATATGATAGAAGCAGAAGTGAACTCGTTGTCTTGGTCATAGAATTAGACGCATAAGTACCGAGGATTGTTTTTTCATTCCTTTACGTTCCCCCAGTGGAACATAGGGCTTCGAGCTAGAGGCTTGAAGTTTCTGTAGCAATGATGATTATTTTTACGGAATGGGGTTGCTAGAGTCATGCCCAACCTTCCCTTTTTACCAGTCTTACTACTGGCTTAGCTAGGTGAAGGATTGCGTCCCCATTTGTTAACATATGTTTAAAGGCTGACGGCATCGACGTTCGCGGATTGTACGGAGTTTACTAACGCAAGATCTAATACCAACAACTTCTATAGCAATAATTCCTCGTAGACCAAGGGCAAAGCAAAATACCAGAGTTGATCGTCCAAATTACGAGATATATTTCGGGACCAAATCGTAGGCCGAGATGAATGCTTAGCTGGCTAGTGATGGTACACGAACGTGACACGACGGAGTACCAAATGGCGCGGATGCTTGACCGGAAGCCTTCAGCTAAACAAGTCGACTTAAACAGTGAGGGTCAGCATCCAATGTTGAGTGATGATTGCTATGGTCAATAATTTTGGGGAATTTTTTACCGCTACATATGTTTATATGTATTTTGTGGTAATCATATTTCTCTCACACCAGTGAACATAACTCATCATCCCCAATGAAATTTATATTCTCTTGACTGTAAGTACAATGATATATCTCCCACTTGACTGTTCAGTGAGTGCTTACGGTTGTAGAGTCCCAAAACAAAGATGCAGCAGCTATCTTTTACTCACAGGTCTCCCCGTGGTTCTCTAACCTGATATCAACTCGAGATCAAACCTGCAACCAGTCCAATCCCTTCAGTCCAACACTAATTTTGACTGACTGCACACTGTGTATACATTCAGGTGATAGTATTAACTAACGCACTATCATTTCATCTTATAAATGTATCCCAACAATACAGTTTCTGATATAATTTTCATTTGCAATTAATAGTGTTCTCTGAGCTGGTTGGTTTAGTTGTGAAGCTTTCGTCGTCCTTCTGGACAACACCTTCAGCGCAATATTTAGCACAAAGTGAAATGATTTAAATTTCTTCATGAGTGATATAATTGCGTCTCCTGGTAACTATCTTTACATATGTATTGGCCATTTTCTATTGACTTGGATTTTAAACTTTCTGGAGACGCAATTATATCACTCATGAAGAAATTTAAATCATTTCATTTTATGCTAAATATTGCGCTGAAGATGTTGTCCAGAAGGAGGACGAAAGCTTCGCAACTAAACCAACCAGATCAGAGAACACTATTAATTGCAAATCATCCACCTGAGCTACAAATCTTCTCTATTATTTCATAATTTTCATTTGTTTTCGCTGGCTGTTCGTATTATAATATTCATGGATTTCTAACTGTAGGATTTGACGAAGAAGTTATCAAAACCAATTGTTCGCTGTGAAATCATCTTGTTCTGATATAAAAATTTTGAAGAAGATTTGCAGGTCAGTGACGAGGGGTTGTTGTGTAGTTAAATTGCAAATCTTTCGTGGTCACTCCAGACAGAATCTTCAGTGCTAATTTCCAGATGAGATTCAACATAAGTTTTCTATAGTTAATAGAGCTAACGAAACATGAAAAAGAAAAATAGGCGTTCATTACTACGAGATGAGTGTAGAGATGCACAGTAAGCAGTGAAAAAAGGATATGGAATTCGAATTTCTGGCACAAGTTTAAAGTCAGCGCTTTTATGTGTATAGCACATAGACGAAATGCATTTCCAGGCAAGCTACTTCAGACTTCCACCAACCTTGGTCTACTCTTGATATTGAAGTTTAGATGGTCAGTCGGCTTGTACTCTGGCGACGAACTAACCAAGTACCCATCTCCCGTTAAATGTGCAGCAGGAAACGGGAATGGAGTAGACATACGTTGAGGGTGCTGTTGAGTGACATCACGTGTTAGGCTGTCGCGTGGGACATCAATGGGAAATAACGAGTTTGGGGATGGAGGGTGGAATGGAGGAGATCACATGGGACGGAGATGTAAGCTTACAGGAAAAGGTGGAGCCAGCTAAGAAGGAC